CCGCCACCGCCGGGACTGCCGGGCCGGGAGAGGCGCTGCGCACGCCGGGGCTTGGGGGACGCGGCGCCCGGCTGCAGGAGGACAGGCGCAGGACGCAGCGCTGGCGTCCCGGCTTTCGGACCCGCTCCAGCTCTGGGCATGAGCGGTCTAGCGGAGCACGGGCGCTCCTGAGATAGGATGACGCTCGGGCTCGGCGGGCGGTAGTACTATGATTTGGTATGTGGCCACTTTGATAGCAAGTGTGATCAGCACCAGAGGGCTGGCTGCTCAAGGTGAGTTGAAGTGCAGCGCGTTCCCTTGACCGCCCCCGGCAGCCGGACGTTGGCCTTCGGCACGCCCGGCCCCGACCCCCAAGCTGAACGCCGCACCCGGCCAGCCTCCGCCACTCCACCGGGTGGTGCCGCACCGAGGAGGCGCGCCCCCGGCACTGCCGGGGAGCCGGGCTGCGGGGCTCCAGGCAGCCGCCCCGGGTCTTCCGAGAGGGACGCTGTGCGCTGTCCGGATCTTGGTGCTCCGCTGTCGACCCCCCAGCCTTGGGGCCGCCCGTGGAGCGATGGCCCCAGGTGCGAAAGCGTCCCGGGACACCGTTGGGTGGCTTCGCGGCCGCCGGCAGGGTCCCCGGGCAGTTGGCAGTGACTTGGGCAGGCTGTCTGATCTCAAGCCCCGCGCCGGGAGGCAGCTTCTCGGGAGCTGTTGGCCGCGCGGACCCGCGCTTAAACTCTTCCCATTCGCATCTGGGGTCTAGCGTTTCGCAGCCTGCTGGCTGCAAAGCGTCGCGCGGTGCATCCCTGTTCTGCTCTATCCCGCCCTCCCCCCCGAACCCATCCCATCCCCAGCAGCCCGAGGTCCAGGTAGCTGGTTACCTTGGCAAAGGGGACTTTCGGAGCCCCGGGAAAGGAGGAGAGCTAGCCGAGCGGGTAGGTGTCCCGGCCTGGCCGGGGGAGCGCGGGGCTTGGGCACGAAGGGGGAGGCGCTGCCCGACTCCGCTGCATCTGAGCCGCAGCCGGGAAAAGTTCCCCGGGAAAGAGCCGCTGTCGGGCGGCCGGGTCCTTTCGCTGCCTACGAGGCCCAGCAGGCTGCGGGCGGGGCGGGGGCGGGGGATTCCCTCTGTTGGAGCGCCGCGCGGAGGTGGGACGCGTCTCTTTCCGCTTTTTCCTCTTTTAAGCTGAGAAAGATGCAAAGGGAAGCTACCAGAGAATTAGGCGACGCGTGCCGGAGCGCGGGCATTTGCTTTGGAGACGGGCAAAGCCATCTACAAGCCTCTGGGTGGCACCTCCGCTCCTGGTTCCTGAATGGAAGTTGGAGCAGAGCCCGACGGTGCCACCACTCGGAGCTCTCGGCCTTGGTGTGGGTGTGCAGACCCGGCTTGCTGCGGGCAAGTTCACCCAGCCGAGATGAGGAGTGATGCGTGGGTGGGAGTCGCAGGAAGGACCCTCCAACTAGAGAACTCACTTCCTGTGGTATGAGAGCAGTGGCCGCAGGCGCACCTGTACAGGGTCACCGTGTGTGTGTGTGTGTGTGTGTGTGTGTGTGTGTGTGTGTGTGTGTGGTGGGGGGTAATGAATGTGAAAGCAGGAATTTGAGAAAGTTTCTCTCCCCTTTGCTCCGTGGGGGTCTGAACACGGGCCTAAGGAAAGGCATGAACAGGGAATGCGGCATGTTGCTCTGGGAGGTATTCAAAACTCCCCATTTCTCAGGTGGGAAAAGCGAGGCTGGATGACCAGGAAAACTCATGGAATGGGTATTAATTAGGTGGATAGGGGTTGTGCTTGCGAGTCTGTCTCTCCAGCTTCAGCCATGTCTCTCTCCCCCACCCCCCCTTCCCTTGTAGTCTTCCAGTGCCCTCTTCCTCCTCCCCTGCAGTTTTTGGTATGTTCCTGCTGTGGGACTCTTGCTGAAAGCACACAAGAATGCGACTAGAGCAGAAAAGAAACGTTGAAGGAAGGCTCTGAAATAGCCTCCACATCTGAGATATCGAGAGTAACGGGCTTTTGACAAGTCGCAGTACAGAATAAAGACACACAGGTTGATAATTGTAGCAACACAGAGAATGGCCAGACAGAAAGAAGGACTTCCCAAGGACTTCCTTCACTGCAGGTTGTTGGAGCAAAGGATATGCCTTCGTTGAGGATTCAGAGAGATTCCTCTCTGTTAGGATGTGTGACATGCTACCTTGCCTGGCAACAGGGTTGGTTGGGGGTGGGGGGGCTTATTGGTTTGCTTTGTTTTAACTTAATGAGCTAGGTGTGGTGGTTAGATTTGACTCTAGGTGTAGAGTCAAACTACCTGGATTCAAATCCTGGTCCTGCTACTTGCTGACCCCATGACCTTGGACATGTTCTTCAGTCTCTGGATGCCACTTGCTTCAATCAGAAATGAGGTTAGCAGTGTCAACCTTAGGGGGTTTGTGTGTGTGTGTGTGTGTGTGTGTGTGGTGTATTTGTGTGATCATTAGTGCTATTTAAAAGATGAACTAGCCTAGTTCACTAAATGTTGTTAAATCTGTGGGAATCCAGATCCTTGCCTGGATTTTTTTCCTTGAGTCCCTCAGGAATTGGGGAATTGGGACTGTCTTGTGGGGGAATTCCAGAAAGCTACGTGTCAGAAGAAGCCTTGTCTCTCTGCATCTGGTGAGATGTGGAATAGGATGCCGGCCTGAGGGCTGCTTGGGAATCCTTGGAAATACCTGCAAAGCTGGGGAGGGAGGATACAGGGAGCAGAGGAGGCAAGCTAGGGCATAGGCTCCCAGAAAGGAGGAGGGCCCCCACCCCCACCCCGCATGACTGTCTCCTGCTTTAGAGATGCAGTGTTCCTGCCTTGATCAGGCTCTGTGGGAGAGGGTCACCCCTCCTCTGTCTGGTGGAGTTGGCTTCCTGGGGGATTCCAGAGGCAAGTGCTGAGGTCCTGAGGAGGAAGGGGAGACTTGGACTTGCTTGGGTCCCTGAGGTGGGGGCACTGATATTTGGTTGTGTGTGTCTATCAAAGGAATGTCTGCTTGGTGACCTGTGGGGAGAAGATAAAAGTGGGGAAGGCTCCTTCTTTGTACTTTAATGATGTATATCTGGATGGTGATTGAGCTTGGGAAGAATGTAGAGGAGACAGGGACAGAGAGCTTTGAGAAAGCCTGGGGGTGACGGCCGGACTGTCAGTATCCCACATGTGTGCCAGGCATGCTTGGGGGAGTTCCCCACTCAGTGTGAGGATTCTGGGCCATGCTTGGCTGATGCTGGGCTTGGGCTAGAGGAGGGGAATGTTGGGGGCTTCATTGCAAAGGCCCTCTCCTCCTGCCAACTCCCCATTCTGAATATTTTGTCCCTCAACAGAGTGGGGTGCTGCCTGGGACCCTGGTGAGAGTTGGACCATTGCCTTCTACTCTTTGCTTGGTTTTGATCTCCTTCTTTCCTTCTTTCCTCTTGGTCATGATGATAAGAGGGAGGAGGTTTAGATCTATCAGCTATGAGCAGGAACCCACAGGAAGCCTGTAAGTAAGGAGATGTGGCAAGGATGTGTGTCACAAGCGTGCTGGGGGCAGAGGTGTGTCTGCAGCTTGCACCCTGGAAGAAGTGGGGTGGATCTGTCAGCTGGCCAGGGTAGGAGAAGAATCTGCTTTCAGCAGCTGACTTTTGCTATTCGTGGCATTGTCAGGTCCCATTCCTGGGTGGTGTCAGGTTCGTGGTCTGAGACCTAGCTGGGATCTGGTTACCCAGGCACAGATCCTCTGTGGGGATGCTCAAACACGCACCTACATGCTCTGCCTACCCTCTGCCTTGCCTTCGGGAACTCTTATGCTTATCATGCTCAGCTATGTTCCCCACCTGCCCTCCTGGTCAGGGCACCAGCATTCAGTGTCTGGATGGCTGTTGTGTCTTCTTTCTCGGCCCCTCCTTCTCAGGCCCTGCTAGGTGCCTGCTCATAGCCCACAGCTTTTCTGTATGCCCATGGGGTGGGATGGGAAAGAAACCTCTAGAGGAGGGGGCCAGATTTGGTGTTTCACAGGAGTTCTCTACTCCAGGATTCCCCACCCACCTACAACATCCTGAGAACTTCAAGACCCTCACAGGCTTGTGATATAATATCCAAGGACCTTCTGCATCCTGGGGTTGGTTAAGCAGCTTGTTTGAGAGAGAATCTGGATTGTGAAAGATCTGTAATTAGTGAGAGCGCCCAGCTAGGCAGAAAGGTGTGTGGATCCACGTGGGTATGTATGCGCATGTGGGCCTGCATACATGGTTGAAGTGTGGTAGGATGGACAGGGAGGTCCTGCAGCCTCCAGGGCCCAGCGATCTGCTGCAGGCACAGGGCGGGAACCCACCTCCAGTGCTGTGTCCTTGTTTGTGAGTCTTCTCATTCTGCATGGGAATCTAGGCAACCTAGGAGCCCCTTAGGTTCCCAAATGCAGGGCTTTGGGAGAGGGAAGCTTGAGTGGGGCCAAGTGAAGCTAGTGTAGGGTTCGCTGATAATTGGTCTGCTTTTCAGTCGGGGCAGCAGAGTGGGTGTGGCAGCAGATCCCCATTGCCTGTGTACAGTCCTGAGAAGGAGCGGACCCCTGAGGGAAAGGGGGATGCCAAGATAGGGAAGGCAGTTTGTAACCTCGTTTCCCCCAGGCGCTGTCCATGGTGCAAGCCCAGTCTGCCAGAAGCATTGACCCATTTTTCTTAGGCGTCTTCCTGCTTTCTGTTCTTGCCTCTGTGATAGGCTGAAGGGATGGGCACAAATTGGGTTTTCTCTTCATAAGGTTTTGGAGCAGAATGCCCTGTAGGCCCAGCATAGGAGGGAGATCTGGCTAGTCTGAGAAGAGAGGGGACTGGGAATATCCCCTCCCTGCCGCTCCTCTCTTTCCCCGGCTCCCACCTCTTGGTCACAGGCACCCATCAAGAGGAGGTGGGCACACAGCTGGCACGCAAACATGTCCTCAGAAATTATAGAGGTGAATCGTGCCCATATTTCATGGTCTCGGAGCGAGGAATGGTGGTGGGTCTTCATCCATGAGTAAGCACGGGACTTAGATGGTCTACGTCCTTAGTTTCACCCAAGGAGCATGGCCTCAGAGCAGATGTTTGGGTCCCTTAGCCTCCTAGATGTGCTCTGTGTGTGTGTGTGTGTGTGTGTGTGTGTGTGTAGGGTGGGGATGCAGGGCCAAGGGGAGGAGGGGTGTGTGTGGTGGGTGTGGCTTCTCGTTTCTGCCTAGTGGAGCCATTAAGGAAGCTGTGCTGAGATTGAATTACTGACTTCCTTCCTGTCAGCGACTCCTGGGGAAAGGGCTCTTGGAACT